TTTTTTTTTTTTTTTTTTTTTTTTTTTTTTTTTTTTTTTTTTTTTTTTTTTTTTTTTCTACATCGTCACACGAATGTGTTAAAAGACCATCACCTTAAAATCACCAAATTCTAACTGTACACACAGATGTAAATAATTAAAGTTACATTATTGTAAGAAATCAAGCAAAAAGGAGATTCTTAATAAATTCGTTAAAAAGCCTAGGAATTGCCAAATGTCTTGTCGACGCAGTTTTGGAAGTAGTTGATGATGGTCTTACCGGTGCCCCGGGGTTCATGCGAGTAGGCAAAATAAAAGCAATGCTCCGTGTCCGTTTCCGCATGGTTTATGCTAAGCTCTTGGATTTCCCCATAGGGACTACCCAACTCGATCATCTCAACGTTCCTGATAACTGCCCCATTCCCAGCCACCTCCACAACGTTTATTTTGGCTTTGTCACACATTTTGTCTACGTTAGAAGTACTGCAATCGATGTACATAAAGAGGATACCACCCTGGCGTCGGTTGACCACCTTAAGCATCACTTGCTGTGCCTTTGAAAAGTTTGTGACGCTTTTGTACACTTTCTTTTGGCCATTTGCAGTGGATTGTATGCAGCTGACAACTACTTCATCATCCACCGTGTCCAGGTAGCACATCGCAAAGTGTCCATTTTCGTTCGATTCCACCGAGTCGTACTTCAAAAATTCTCTCGGCCTATAGAGATTTTTAAACATTATGGTTTCGATGGAATTGTAGCTTATGTGGCTGATGTTCATCGAACCCCCGGTGGCGTTGCGCTTGAGGGTCATGAAATAACCACCAGTGAACAAATGGTTTCGATTCGCGATTATCGAGTGCCCTTCCTCGTAATACTTTGAGGGTAATCTTGCTTGGCCGAATAGCTCACCTGGAAATAATTGGTCAGATTGTTTGTGTCTTTTAGGGTAACATACGCAAAGTTTGTCGATTCGTACCTTCGTGGTTGTATTGGAGGATGCACGGGCTCTTGATTTGGTCGCTGCAGTTCGTCTTGCTGTCGATTGCGACGAGGAAGCTATTGTCGTAAGCCAAGAGATGAAAGTTGGGTCTCCTCAGTTTCTGTTGTTCATCAGTTGGATGCGAGTCGATTGAAAAAGATAGATTGACGATTTTGCAAGTGTCCATGTCGACGAGAGTGACCATCTTGCGATTGTCCCAGGACCCCCAGGACCAATGAAACACGGCTTTTTTTCCTCCGTACATACTTTTGAGATTTGCATCAATTACGTCGAAATTAATATCATTAGTCTTGGGTAGTTCGAGCTGCACGTCACAACTTTTTTCAATGCCGTCAATCATCTTCATCTCGAACTGACAGTTGGCTACATTACGATTTTCGGCTTCGTTGCAGGTCAGATAAACCAGATTTTGGTCAATATTTTCGGATATCCTTAAGAGTGGAGGTGTAAAGGGTATGTTGAAGTTTTTGGAGAAAGTTTGGATTGCAGCTGCTTGTGCGGCGATGCACAAGAGACCCACGAGTGTCACGTACTTTGTAGACGACGACATGTTTCCTTGAAATAAATTTTTCGTTATTTTCAATCCTTCTTTATTAGAATCTGTCATTAACTGACAAAATTAATACTATGATTTTTAACAGCACTGAATTGAAACAATACATCATAAGTATATATTTTATTTGGATATGTTAAATTAATGTAACAAAGGAAAAACTGACAAATAATATTTAAACCGGTTACTTACCGATTATCCTGTAACGAATATTGAAAGAAGAAGTTACGTTGACTCGAACCCCGGCAATTGACGACTGGATTCGAATATACTCGTCCGCTTTTTATACCATTCAGGCCGAATGTGACTAGATAAAACAAGACCACGTGACTTATCGTCTCGAAGTGGTGTCGAACTATAATAGGCTCACAATCTTTCCCACCAAACGACTTTTGCTACGGTCTACAATAATAATGTATCATCATCTATTCAAATGATGTTTTATTTATTAAAGAAAAAGGTTTTTTCAGGACCAATTGTAGTTGAAAAATAAAAAAATTAACTTAGCAAATAATTTTATTCATTAATAAAAATAACGTCATTTTAATGAGTTCTATCTAAATAAATAAAAAATGCCTTAGTATTTGTTATCTTGTACTGTTTGAGTTTAAATTTAGTAGTTAGAATAAAGCAAATTTATAGTTTTTCACAGCGAAAGAATACTTTTTAATAATACGCTAGTGTGTGCACTGTTAACGTTAACTAGTAAAAATAGACGTTAAGATATTTAATAATCAAATATTAGTGATAAGTTGGTTCAATGATCAGAAATAGTAATTGCAATTTATTAAGTTTTTTAAAAAAAAGTTGACCAAGCTTCTATTTTCATTGCCTGACGTGAGAGGAATTTCTTACAACAACATACGCTTTTGTTTATTATTAAATTGTATATTAGTTTTTCATTATTGTTACTTATGAGAAGAGTTAAAACAGTTTATTAAAAAAAATTAAGATAATTTATATACTACGTGTGATTGTCGAGTATACATATATATATACATTTGTTTGTTTTATATGTATATATACTCGACAATCACACGTAGCATATGAATTGTTTTAATTATTTTTTTAACTATATAAGTGCGTCTGACATGATATTTTTTATTTTATTGCAAAAATTACTTGTCAATCCCTCTGAAAATTGAATATAATATCAATATTATGGTATTGTGTCATGCAAAAAAAAATTAGACGAATTCTACCAACCATTTTCTCATGAAATCCATTTTTATGTGACTCTTCCAAAAGATTACGTGTTGAAATTTTTACATTGAAATTTTTTCAACATTTAACATCT